AAAACACTTTGCCATTGGGTCGATTCTGACTCACAGCATCCCTATATGAAAGAGTAGAACTGCCCCATAGGGTTTCCAATGAGTGGCTGGTGGATTTGAACTGCTAACCTTTTGGTTAGCACCTGAGCTCTTAACCACTGGGCCAAGTCTTCAGTTGGCCTTAATTGTGTCTCTTTCTGTGTCTCTCTCAATCTTTTTTGCTTTTGGATAATATTAGGTGCGTCAAAGTGCAACACTTGTTACCTTTCAATAAAAAGACACACATCCTTGTAATAAGTAATAAGGATGTATGGTGAGCTAACTTTATTTAGAAACTAATAATATGTTTCTTAATATTCTTGATTATCTGTATGTCTGCATCTTGTAATCTTCACCATGAATGCCTTCTCTGGCAATTGTTATAATCACTCCCATTTTACAGATGTCAAAACAGGGCTTCAAATGGTTGTGATTGGTGCTTTGCCCAAGGACAACCCCAAAATAAACAGCGGAGCTCAAATATGAGCCAAATTTCTTCCTCCAAAGTCCATGTTAGTCTTTCCAAGCACATCACTGAGGGAGAGTCAACTATCCTGTCCCTGTGTTTACACCATATATTAATTTCCTAGTGAAGTCATAACAAAATATCACAAAATGGGCAGATTTAGGCCACATGTCATGGATTGAGTTGTGTTCCCCAAAAATATGTGTCAACTTGGCTAGGCCATGATTCTCAGTATTGTGTGGTTGTCCTCCATTTTGTGATCTGATGTAATTTTCCAGCGTGTTGTAAATCCTCATCTCTGCCTGTGGTTAATGAGGCAATATTGGGTTATGTTACAGAGGATTAGGGTAGGATGAAACACCCTTACTCAGGTCACAGCCCTGATCTGATGTAAGGGGAATTTCCCTGGGGTGTGGCCTGAATCACCTTTTTATTTTACCAGAGATAAAAGGAGAGAGAAGGGAGCAGAGAGATAGGGGACCTCATACCATCAAGAAAGAAGAGCCAGGATGGAGTGTTCCTTTGGAGCGAGGGTCCCTGTGCTGAGAAGCCCCTAGACCAGGGGAAGATTGATGACAAGGGCCTTCCCCCAGAGCTGACAGAGAGCGAGAAAGCCTTCCTCTGAGGCTGGCATCCTGAATTCGAACTTCTAGCCACTTAAGCTGTGAGAGAATAACTTTCTCTTTGTTAAAGCCATCCACTTGTGATATTTCTGTTACAGCCGCACTAGAGAGCTAAGACACCACAGAAATTTATTGTCTCACATTTCTGGATGCTAGGAGTCTGAATTCAGGGTGGAGGCATCTACAGAGCCGTGCCCTCTGTGCCTGCTCTAAAGGAAGTTCCTTCCTTGTCTCTTCCGGTTTCTGGTAGGTAGCTCCCAGTGTACCTTGGTGTTCCTTGGCTTGTGTGGATGCATCTCCACTCAGCCATCTTTCCCCTGTGTCTCTTCTCCTCTTTTATAAAGCTGCCACTCAGATTGGATTAGGACCCAAACTACACCAGTCTGACCTAATGTTAACTTAAGTGATAACATCTTCAGAGACCCTATTTCCCAACGAGGTCACATTCACAGGTACCAGGGGTTTTGCTGTTGCTGTTAGCTGCCATTGTGTTGATTCTGATTGATGGGGACCCCAAGGGGTTAGGGCTCCAATATATCTCTTTGGAGGTCACAATTCAATACATAACAAACCAGACAATTCAATACATAGCAAACCAGGTATTATCATCTTAGAGACTCTAAACCACATTAAAATGCTAAAGGTAAGGGGAGATGACTTCTCTTTCTAATCAACTACTTTTCTAGAGAAGAGATTGGGATGTAATAAATTAACAATTTCTGCCTAGAATTAGTTTCCTTAACTTTAACTTACTTTATTCATTGAGGCTTCAACATGTATTAGTGATTGAGGCAGCTCAATAATAATTTCTGTACACCAGCATCCATTGATGGTAGTCTTCAACTCAATGATTAAACCCAATGAAATTAAATACAGTATAGCAGGACAAGTATAGAGAATGATTGCAGTCAAAGGAAGGGGGTGAAAAATACGAAACTTATTCAAAAGAACTGAGGCAATTTAGCAAGCCTCCTTCTCCCACTGTTTTATTTTTCCCAGTGTGAAAAATAAATCATGATTCTGATCACTTCCTGAAGGTCAGTGTTCTTTCTTCTGTACTCGTGTAGCACCCTGTTTGTTGAGAACAGGCAGGGGTAAACCCTGTATGGGGAGAGCTTTTGCCTTAGCTTTGGACAAATAACCAATCCATTGTGCAAATATCACAAGCAAGGGACTTGCTATCTACACATGCATGAATTACTCAAGTATTTACTAGAAACTTGAGGCACCAGCAGCATGCTGAATTGGGTATTGTTGGGGCACATTTCAATTTTTGGATAATTTTAATCATCCCTTTTCTAAGCCCCTTAAATCTCTTCTTTTAAATAACCTTTACTCATTTTCTTTACCCAAGCAATCTAACTTTTCAAAATACAGGTTTAAACAAAATGGCAGGCAAAATGGGAGGAACGGGAGAAAACTTTGAAGGTGAGAAGGGTGTTCTCCATCCCAGCGCGTTTTTCACAGGTGACTCTGTAATCCTGGACTTGTGTGCATTTTCCTTAGAACATTTCAGAGCTGAAATTCACCCTTTACCCACTGCTTGCAGTTCTTCATTGTTTGAATTCATATCAAGAGCAGATAGAGTGCATTTTCACTCTAACACCCCAACTCTCATCCCAAATCCTGTCTCCCCTTCCTTCTACTCAGCTCACACTTCAGTAAAGTTAATTCGTCTCGTAGGTCTCTCTGTGACTCAAAAATTTAGATGCTATGGGAATTCTGGCCTGCGTAGATTTTTTTTTCCTTCCTTGAAATTACATAAACTTAATATGATTCAAGAGAAAGCTTTTGGAAAATAATAATAAAAGTAAGAGCTTAGCAATGTAAACCTAGACATGCTGAGGATAAACCTAGCTGGTGATTTAAAGCATTTTTCTATTAATAAAATGTGTGTCTTGTGGGGTGTGTGTGTGTGTTGATTGTGTTGTTTATGGAGCATAGAGTTCTTCCCATTTCTGCCAAGTGACCTAGTTTTTTCAGTGGGCTCGGAGGGGCTGCTGACCTCTCTCCCATTATTTGGTGAGAATGTTCTCTCAGGTTTTCTCAGGACCAAGTGCTGAATTCTCACAATTCTGTAATTCACAACAATCAAAATATTTCAGAGTATTCGTAGATAATTGTTAGAGATAAAGTCAAATTCAAACTTGGAGAGAAAGACGTTACAATTTAAAAGTTCGGAATTGAAAAGCTAACCTATTCTTTAAGAAAACTCAGATGAAAAGTACCTGCCTCCAAAGTGGCTGGCCACTAAGGGCAGATTCTCAGCCCTTTTGGGGAAAGCAGCAGAAGACTTCCATTTCGCTTTACACCTATTAATGTTTAAATAATTTTTGAGTATATGATGAAACCACATAGTAGTATAGCTGCATGAGGGTACTCAACTCTGAGAAGCCTTGTCCACTAAGTTCAGGTTAGCTTCTCATGTTGTTCATGCCCAGTGAAGGCATCAGAAAAAGGCACCTCAGAATCAATAGGTACTTTTCTGTGAGACCATCCGTGGAGTATAGGTATACAAATTTAGCATTAGAAGGAAGAGCAAATAACCAGTATTAGTTTGTAGAAAGTAATGGGGATGATGAGTAGCTAGTCAAGGCTTGTGATTCAGTGAAAGGACCAAATGGCCAAAATATTGATTTAAATTTGTAAATTAAATATGCTTTGTCCATATGCTTTGAATCCTAAGTCACCAATAAAACAATGGCACTGGTAAGGGAGAGCATTTCCATTGTCACAGAAACAGAAATAGATTCAATAGCAACCACATCATTTTATAGATAGTTTTTAATGAGAAATGCAAGTTGCAGAACAGAGCAATCCCAACCCCAACACATGAGAGAATAATTGGCTTTCATAAGGGTTTTATTGCTCACATGCAAGAGAGTATGAAAACATCTTAACCAGTCTACTACCACTTCTGGAAAAAACATTCAAAGTTAATGGCCACTGGTCATTACTGTCATTTTTGTTTGAAATATAAAAAGCTGTGAACACAGCGTATGAGATTAATACCTGCCAGGTGAGTGGCTGCAACCAATGACTTGGTGTAGCTGTTGGGAAGTAAGTGTGTGTTGGGGCTTGGACCAAGACAACCTCAAGTCTGTTTTGGCAAGGTGACCACATAAACCCTTGGTTGTCACAAATGTTTTCAACTTCTAGGGCAGTCCTTCTCATGTTGTCTTGAGATTTTAATTCATATCAAATGTAGGGAATTTCAAATTAGGGAGGAGTATAAAGGCTGTTCACAATATCAAAGTATTTAGAGGATTTTCGGCGGATGTAGCTTACAAGTGTGTTTGATATTTATCACAGGTGCTATCTTTACTGTTTTCTGCTTCAGTCTTCAATTAATCCATGAATAATGATGATAAGATGATCACAATAATGGTCAAGGTGAAGCCTAAAACTAGATGTTGGTCATTAACAATGCATTTAAGATAAACGGTGAACACACAACTTGTGTAGATAGTCCATTTATTGCGCCCATTTAAATTATCCGTGTGGGCTTCACCACCACAGTCAATTGTGGGAATCATCAGGACTTTTTGTAGCTGGCTCTAGTGATCTACCAGCAAGACTGACTTTAGCCGTCAGCTCAACACACGTCACCAAAGTTCTTTCTTTTTCACAACGCCTGAGTCATACTTAGCAAATGGCTATGTGGAGAACTGTTGCATTTTGTCAGTGAAGACATGATTGATGGCACAAGAACCCCTATTTCTGCAGCTGTTGGAAAGCAAAAATAAAATTCTGTCCAAGGTAATTGCTGTGAACCAACCTGAGATCTAATATTCCAGAAATGGAAAGTGGAGTCCTTCATCAAGGAGTTCAGTGAGCCTTCCTCTCTGACTTAGATTGACGCCACTTTCTTCTGTCCCTCTGTTTATCCCTAGAATGCAGTCCCAACAGTACCAGCAGCAGCGTCGAAAATTTGCAGCTGCCTTCTTGGCATTCATTTTCATTTTGGCAGCTGTGGACAATGCCGAAGCAGGGAAGAAAGAGAAACCAGGTAAGCAGAAGGGTTGTGAAGGCAAGATGCTTCATGGACTAACGTCCATCTAGCTCAGTGACTTGCTTTTTATCCTTCTTCCCTCCCTACCATCCTCCCTTCTTCCCTTCCTCTTTTTCTTCCTCCCTCTGTCCCTTCCTCCTTTCCTTTTTCCTTCCTTCCTTTCTTTTTCCCTTCTAAGTATTTAGAGGATCCTGAGCACCATCTCCTCTCTCTCTAAGTCCTGGAGTGTGGCTGCTGATTGTCATGAAGATGACGATCCTATCAGCAGCTGCCATACACAGAACATTGTGTGAAACATTAACCAGAAATCAGATGCTTTACTTAGATTGCCTTCAAAAAAGCCCTCCAAAGATGTTTTTAAATCTCAGATTTATACAGGGGAAAACTGAAGCCCAGACAGCCTTCCCAATGCCTCTCAGTAAGTGGGGGGTGGAGCTGGGAGTCTAAGCCCGTGATCCGTCGTATTTCTATCATGCCATTTCATCTACAATACAGAGTAGGGAGCACTGACTTACATTGAAAAGACTAATCAAGCAATTTTTACTTCTAATAGATTGCATTCTCATTTTTTAGGCTTAACTGCTTTTGACCATCTGTTCTTTATAGATATATTTGCTTCTAAGAAGAGACGTAGGCAAATCACTTAGTACAGTCCCTAGCACACAATAAGAGCTACATTAGTATTAGTTCTAGCTCCTTTCTGAGTTTTCTTTCTCCCTTCTCTTGGTCATTTATTGATTAAACTATTCAGCTAACACCTATCAACTTCCTACTATTGACTGGGCACTGAGGAGAGAGGTAGAAGGCATCGATCCGATGATTAAGGTGCTCAGCCATGAACTTGGTTGTACATAGGAGTTCCAGTGTTTTCTGAAAGCTGATTATTTCTCCACCATTCCTTCCAGAAAAAAAAATGAAGAAGTCTGACTGTGGGGAGTGGCAGTGGAGTGTGTGCGTGCCCACCAGTGGGGACTGTGGGCTGGGCACCCGGGAGGGCACCCGGACCGGAGCTGAGTGCAAGCAAACCATGAAGACCCAGCGATGTAAGATTCCCTGCAACTGGAAAAAGCAATTTGGAGGTACGTCCAGCCTATTGTCCTGTTGATCCAATTTCCCACTCAGATAATCTTCTGCTTCTTCCATGAAATGCTTTTTTGAGGTTGACTGTGATTTGTTTAAAAGAGGTTTATTTTATCTGACACAGAATGACCCCAGGGTTTCTCAACATTGGCCTTACTGACATTTGGGCCAGATAATTTTTTGTTGTGAGGACCTGACCTGTGCATTGTGGGATATTTAGCAGTATCCCTGGCTTCTATGCACTGATTTGCTGTAGCATCCCCACCACTAGTCGTAAGACAAATAGCAATGTGTCCAGATATTGCCAAATATCCCTGAGAGGGGAAATGGCTGCTGGCTGAGAACCACTGCCTTACCCAATAGAAACATGAACTATACCCTTGATCCCTCTGCCAGTAGTTATTCATCTTCCCACCCTTCTTTTATTCTTCCATTCTCAGTTTCTTTTGTTGTCCTTTCCCCTTTTCTTATTTACTCCTTCACTGTGTCTCTCTCTCTGTCACTTTTGGGTCCTCTCTGTCTTTTGACCCCCTCCCCTCTCTCTCCACAGGGGTGGAAAAAAAAGCTGTTGCCATCAAGTCGATTCCAACTCATAGTGACCCTATGGGGCAGAGTAGAACTGCCCCATAAGGGTTCCAAGGAGTGGCTTGTAGATATGAACGGCCAACCTTTTGGTTAGCAGCCATAGCTCTTAACCACTGTGTCACCAAGGCTCCACAGAGTCACTTATCAAATCCAGTAGGGCTGCTCATGGCCCCTTTTCATGGACTTTTCTCTCACTGATGATAACCAGTCCCGCTCTTACCTCATCTTACCAATTCAAAACAAAATAACCTCTTTCTTCCACATTCTAAACTTTATGTCCTCCTTAGCCATGGTAGGACACAGTACCCCTGATATCCCCCTTTTGTTCAATGGAAATGCACTATAGCCTATAGGCAATTGAAGAAAGAGTATGGATTTACACACGTATTTCTTGCCTCCTCCATAACCTTTGGGGTGATTCTACTGAACAGAGATAAGTTCTATAAAGGCAAGGTGGATTCAGATACATGTGACCTTAGATTCTAGATGGTGCACCTTAAAGACCCACCTGCAAAAAGACAAAAAAAAAAAAAAAAAAGTCTTAAAGGACTTGTATCTAGAATATATAAAGAACTATGAAAACTCGAGAGCAAAAAAACCCTAAAGATCTAATGAAAAATGAGCTAAAGACATTAAGAGGCATTTCACCAAAGAGGATATAAAGATGGAAAATAAACACATGGAAAATGTTGAACATCACTAGTCATTAAGGAAATGCAAATGAAAACCCCAATGACATGGCGCTACACAACCTTTCAGAATGGCTAAAAAAAAAAAAAATAGTGCTAAGACCAAATGATAGCAAGGATGAAGAGAAACTAGATCACATGTATATTGCTGGTGAGAATGTAAAGTAGTACCAAAAAAACCCAAACCCTTTGCCGTGGAGTCGATTCCGACTCCTAGCAACCCTGTAGGACAGAGTAGAACTGCCCCATAGGGTTTCCCAGGCTGTAATCTTTAGAGAAGCAGACTGCCACATCTTTCTCCCATGGAGCAGCTGGTGGGTTCGAACCACTGACCTTTTGGTTAGCAGCTGAGCACTTAACCCCTGCTCCAGCAGGGCTCCTTGTAAAGTAGTACAGCCACACTGGAAAGGAGTATGGCAGTTTCTTACACAACTAAATATGTGCTGGCCATAGGAAGCAGCAGTGGTACTCTGGGGCATTTATCCCAGAGAAGTGAAAAGTGTCTTCACACAAAAACCTGTACACAGATGTGTAGAACAGCTTTATTTGTAATAACCAAAATCTGGAAACAACCCAGATGTCCTTTAAATAAACTGTGGTACATGGAATCCTACTCAGCAATCAAAAGGTGCAAACTAGGGACAATACGCAGTAGCTTGGATGGACCTCGAGGGACTCCTACTGTGGGAAAAATGGATCTCAAAATGTGGCAGACTGTATGACTTAATTCATATGACATTTTTGAAGGGATGAAATTATAGAGGTGGAGAACAGATTAGTGGTTGTCAAGGCTTAGGGTGGGCTGAAGGCCCCTCTGCCTTTCTCAATCACACCAGGCTGCCTCTCAACACTAGGAACTCATGGGACTCTGGTCATAATAGCTAAATCTCTATGTCTAGAATCATTAAATGGCAGAGCTTCTGGTGACCTGACTTATCACCTGATCTAACCCTCATGTAACAAAGGAAGACAGACTCATTGTTCCTGACTTAGCCAAGTTCATCCTGACTAGTAGCAGTCGAGAACCATGGCTGTACAAGGAAGCATGGGGGAACCTTGTGACAGGAATGGTGTCTGTCTTAACTGTTGTTGTTGTTAGGTGCCATTGAGTCCATTGTGACTCATCTTAACTGTGGTGGTGGTCATATAAACCTGCATATAACGCACAGAACTAAATACACACACACACACACACACACACACAAATGAATGCATGTAAAACCAATGAAATCTGAATCAGTTCTGTGGATTGTATCAACATCATTTCCTGATTGTGACATTGTACTGTAGTTATACAAGATATCACCATTGTGGGCAACTGAGTATAGGGTACGCGGGATCTCTCCATGCTTTCTTACACCCGTGTGCAAATGTGCAATTATCTCAAAATAAAACGTTGAAGACAAAAATGTGTCTTTAGTATCATGGCACCCCAGTAGTATCTCTGAGATTTCTGTTTGGCTCTCCCTGCCCTTAGCGGAGTGCAAATACCAGTTCCAAGCTTGGGGAGAATGTGACCTGAATACCGCCCTGAAGACTAGGACCGGCAGCCTGAAGCGAGCCCTGCACAACGCTGACTGCCAGAAGACCGTCACCATCTCCAAGCCCTGTGGGAAGCTGACCAAGCCCAAGCCTCAAGGTAGGTGCCTGGCGCTGTAGCGCGATCTCAGTGTCCATGGATTCGTTGACTCAGGCCGGATCTTCAGTGTGGAGAGCTAAGTCTTCCAGAAGGAAATCTTAGGAGAATTCCCTTCCGAAAGGGATTGAAGAAGTCCCATGATTGAGCGTCACACAAATACTTTCCTGCAGGTAGCTGAGTTCAGATGAAATACAATGAATGTACTGAACCGTCCATGTGAAGGTGGTAGACATGGCCAATGTTTTGTTACCTCTGTTTACCACAACTAAAAAACAAGATTATAAACAAAGAAGTAAAAGACATTAAAAAAAAAAAAATGAAGTCTTCTGCACAGATGGATGGTACAGTCTCCTGTACAAATAAATCACTTAGCAAACAGGCCAGGTTAGTTGTTGTGTGGTGACCGTATTTCCAAACCCTACAAGGAGACTCACACGCTGACAAATAGGAACAAACTTATGAAGATCCTGAGCCACAACATTTTAACTCAAAGCTCTCCCAGATTATCCTAGATATTTAGTTTTCATGCAATTAGGTAAGTTATGTTATCACATTATTCCCTCCGCTGCAAAGCTTGGTAGAGTCTGTATTTCTTTGACTTTCTTCTGAGCCTTTACGTTGGGTTTAGTTGGATTATCTTCCCAACTACATTCACTGGGGATTTTTAAATTGTGGAGTGCTATCTTTCTATTCATTTCCAGAGAGCCAGACTCTGTTCTCGTGCTGGAGAAAGTAAACTCACAACAAATATCACGGCATGGTTTCATACAAATAGAATTCTACAGAGGGAAGATAAGGAGGCATTAAACTTTTATTTGCTGACCCTCAAAAACAAAAAAAAACAAAAAAAAGAAAGAAAACAAACCCTTTGCTGTCTAGTCAATTCTAACTCATGGTGACCCTATGTATTACAGAGAAGAACTGCCCCATAGGGTTTTCTTGGCTGTAATCTTTACAGAAATAGACTGCCAAGCCTTTCTTCCTTGGTGCTGCTGGGTGGGCTCAAACCACCAACTTTTTGTGCCACCCAGGGACCTTTGATGACCCTCAATGGACCCTAAATTAGAATACTCTCTTAAAGAGGCCTCTGCTCACATTGACCTGAGAATTCATATTGGTCAGGTTAAATACACATAAGGAGAAACCTAGAAAATGACCACGAAGCTCTTAATAAATGAAAATAAGAAAAAAACCCTGAGAAATGGGGGGATCGGCTGGTTTGCTGCTGGTGGGTACAAAGGACTCTTTTCCCACGCCTGCCTCTTAAGCCTCCGATGCCTTTCTCAGTGGAAATGGTTCCCTCCAACCTGGAAATGGCCAGGTGCAGCCTGGACCTGCAGCGGACGAATCTTAGGATCAAGCTGTCTTTCCAGACTTGGGCAACCTGTCTGTCATGGTGGGTATTTGGAAGGCACGAAGGGGTGTTGGGGTGCAGATGGTTAGTGCACTAAGTGCTTCTGCCAGCTGTGCAAATATCACTTGTCCAGAGACAACCTGTCGGATCTAATCCAAATGAATAGTCATGTCGATTAAATGACACACGTCCCCAGATGGAAGAACTCAGAGATGCAGTCTTCAGATTAATTTATGTTTAACTCAGCTACGGCACCCAATCCTTCAGCACAAATACAGAAGTAGAAAGAATTTCAGGTGTCCCCATGCTCAAGCGAAGCACTGCTCAGCCTTGGCTGCACATTCAAATTTTCTGGGGAACTTATAAACAGCCCAGTGCCCAGGTATAACCTAGACCAATTCAGTCAGCGTCAGTAGTTTTCAATATGAAGCCCAAAGTAGTGAGCGCTGCTGCTCTCGTATGAAATCCACTGACAGACACCACACACGTTCCCTCTCTCTCCCCTCTCAGTTCTCTCCTCTGATTTGCTGAGAGATGCTGGCGGGCCTGGGTGGATATGAACAATGTTGAAATGTTTGGAGTAAATAGGAAAAAGTGGGAAAGTGATTTAGGAAGACCCCTCAGGATATTTGGTAAATAAGTTAATTGAGCACTCTCTTTTAATGGGACTGGTAGATATTTTACCTTTTTACAATTTCCCATCCAGTTATAAAGGTTAAATTTTGGTTCTGGGTGTCGTCTTGAAAAATGGTGGTGAAGTATTTCAAGGGAGTAGGCATTCTGTCTCACATTTTTTGGACATGTTGTCAGGAGGGACCAGTCCCTGGAGGACATCATGCTTGGTAAAGTAGGGGGTCAGCGAAAAAGAGGAAGACCCTCAACTAGATGGATTGACACAGTGGCTGCACCAATGGGTTCAAGCATAGCAATGATTGTGAGGATGGTGCAGGACAGGGCAGAGTTTCCTTCTGTTGCGCGTAGGGTCGCTATGAGTCGGAACCGACTGGATGGCACCTAATGACAACAACAGCAGGCATTCTGGAGTTTCCAATGTCATTCTGTAGTTTTTATCATGTCAGTGAATTAAGGTATATAATTCATTGAAAATAAGACTGCTCTGTATTTCATAAAGCCACTAGTTAAGCATTTTATAGGTCATTAAAATGCAACCTTCCCTTTGGGCATTGCATGCCTTTGCTGAGTTAACGCATCATTTCCCTCTGAACAATGGAAAATTTTGTGAATGACTTCATGGCCAGATAGTCTTCACAAAGGACCATCTTTTACATAAGAGTTGAGCCGGGGCATCAATCAGAAAGAAGACTCTTCATGACAGTCACACAAGCTTTCCTTTCACTTTTTTTTTTTGGTTGAAATAAAGTGTAACAGGTGGTATGTGTGGGTTGCGTATAGTTCTGTGCCTTTTTTTCCTCCAATAATCAGGAATAGAAATCATAGCTGCCCCTTTGTGAGTTTCTAACCTTAAGATGGCTCATTTTCTTCTGAGCAATGGAAAGATAGTAATAAAATGGAATCTATGGTATCATTATGATGATTCTGTTTCTACTCTCATGCCTTGCACTAGATGTTTTACATATATTATCGCGCAGAGTCCCACGTATCCTTGCTGGTAGGTATTATTATAAAGGAAACTGAAGAACACTGGTTAACGTATTTATCCCAGAGTACAGCAGCTGGGTGAGGCAAATGGTTAAGTGCTCAACAACTGACCGAAAGCTTGGCAGTTCAGATCCACCCTGAGGCACATCGGAAGACAGTCCTGGTGATCTGCTTCCGAAAGGTCACAGCCTTGGACACCCTATGGAGCAGTTCTACTCTGCACACATAGGGTTGCAATGAGTCAGAATGGACTCAACGGCAAAGGAAAGCAGCAACGCATCACTAATAAATGATGAAGCCAAGATTTGACTGACTCTAGACCATGTGCTCTTTCTTACCCTGCTGACTTGCCATCTAAATTCCATATGCGCACAAGCTTAACTCTATGGGTCTTATTTTCCTTTGAAATAGGAGAAGGTTGGCTTTGTAAAGCCCAATCCTGATGTGCCAGATGACTCTTAAATGGAAGAAGACATTTTCTACAACATTAATTCTAAAGTGGTTCTGGAAGACATCCACCAGAATCTAGGTTCTGAGAAACAGGGACTTGGCCTCCTTTGCTCTCAAGTGAATCCTCTGGGTCTAGAACAAGGCCTGGCACATAGTAAATGCTGAATAAAATACTGTGTTTTAAGTGAATGGTAAAGGGAAAAGGGCGTTAAACACAAGACCCCTCCTCCTTAATGCCCAGCAAGACATCAAAAACTGGTGGATACTGTTTAAAGATGTCATTTAATCCAACTTTTCTCAAAGTTATACCATTATAAATTATCTTTTTTCCCCTTTATTCAGGAAAGAATGAGTCATCAATCAATGCTTTCTCCTATTTTAATTCGGTACATGAAGAAGTTAGGAGGCCTAGTTTTCAATCAGGTACTGTGATAGGAGCACTTCATCATTTAATTTAAGCTTCAGAGCAACCCTATGCAGTAGATTTTAGTTATCCTACTTTATGTACGAGAAAGCACAGGCTTAGAGACGTCAAGCCACTTTCCCAAGGTCTCACAGCTTGTAAGTGGGGGAGCCAGGATTCAAATTCAAGGTCTGACCCACACCAAAGCCCCCGTGCTTTTCTCCATTGTGCCACGCTGCCTGTGATCCTACACACCCATGGGACTCTGGTCATCTTAGACAGATCTCTGTACTGGAGCTTCTGGACCTGATCTACCCCTCATATAACAAACATGGACAGAGGAAATCCATGACGCAGCCAAGGCCATCCCAGTTAGCAGAATCAGTGCCAGGTTTTGTGCTCTTTTTGACTTTTTTTTTGGTGCCAACTTTTAAACTTGGGAAAAATAGGAAAGGGACTTTCTCTAGTTCTGAGACTTTTGTAAATGACAGTATAGGGTATTGCGGTCTTGAGGAAAATCATTCTCTTATTGAAATACTTCAGTGGGATTATTTCATTAAAGCCAGTCATGGATCTCATAGCCAGAAAATACATTTCTTGCTATTGTCATCCTTCTCATCACACACATGATCCAACTCTGGTTTTCCTTTGTTTGTGTTCTTTTAAGGAACCCTTTTTGGCTGGCTTCTTCCTCTTTTGCTTCTGGAGATGGGAGTGAGCTACTTTGCAAATCACATGATTTTCAGTGTGAAAAGCATCCTTTTTAAACTTTAGAGTGGAACAGAAAGATGTGGGCAAGGTTGTGCTTAGCTGGTGTTCAATTGAGGAAGACTGAAAAATCTACTTGTGACTTGATTACTAGCAAAAAGGTGGTGGTGGTTGTTGTTAGATGCCATTGAGTCAGTTCTGACTCACAGCGACCCTATGTACAACACAACGAAACACTGCCTGGTCCTGCACTTTCCTCACAGTCGTTGTTATGCTTGAGCCCATTGTTGCAGCCACTGTGTCAATCCATCTTGTTGAGGGTCTTCCTCTTTTTCACCGACCCTGTATTTTACCAAGCCATGATGTCCTTCTCCAGGGACTGATCCCTCCTGACAACATTTCCGAAGTATGTAAGAAGAAGTCTCACCATCCTTGCTTCTAAGGAGCTTTCTGGTTGTGGCTTGG